TGTTTCATAAAACAAGTTTACCAAATAGGCCAGCCTTATTTCAGTTAGTCTGACTCGCTGTCAAATGATTTGGTTCCATAAAACAAATTTAACAAAATCAGTCACTGTGGCAACTTATGCTGGAAAGCTAACCTGGTCCAGGGCAGGCAAACTGTCAGACTAAGCTGAGCTCCTCTAACACTGAACAATAGGAATGCAATGATATTACCACTGACTCTCTCACATACTATCATAGCCATGCAGCCTTTTTCTCTGGTTTTATGACAGCTGTACCTTACACATAGTAAGGTATTAAGCTGCCAAAGAGTGGTTAGTGCTAATTAATGCACTCTCACACAGATGAAGCCTAAATAAAAAATGATAGAGGTTTAATCTCAGTAATAAAAACTAAGCAGTAAACTATGTTTAGCGTGACATGCATCATTTGAACGAATGTACTAGCAGAGGCCTCACTGTCATATATCTTGCTGTTACAGTACACACCAAACAATCAATTAATGAGCTTAGAAGAAGCTGTTTATTAATAGCCTTTTATAGCCACACCTCAAAAATAAAATGTATATTTTTTGTCAAGAAAGCCTTTGAATACATCTTCATCACTAGCTGATACTCAAAACATCGGTTACTTGCATGATCAAAACGACGACATTTTTAAAAAAAATTATTGCAACCCTAATAATTCCAAATTGTGAGTGTTCCAATGTTCTAAAATATTAAACATTTTAATATAAATTAAACTATTTGATATGAAATTTACATTTTGAGTAGTATTTGAACTCAAAATAATAAAATATTATCAGTGTTATCAGCAGGCGTTGCATTTTCTTCCATTTTTGGAAACAAGTTTTTAGTTAACTGTTGATGAATTTGCATTACAAATAAAAGTGACCGTGTCATTGACATTTACAAAACCACCCTGTTATCAGCAAGCTCAAGGCTGGGCGTGTCTTATGCACATATTTTCCTCTTTTGCAATGTGAATTATTTTTGCAATGAAGGTCACTGTCAGTACTACCACAATGAGCTGAAATTTGTTCTGATAAAAATAGTTAGTGTACTGAAAATTAGTTTTGGACAGCATATTTTTTGATGCCCAAACTTTGTGGCTAATACATTTCATATGCTGGGGGGAGGGGGTCTTCATATTTTTAATTTATTCGTTTTTAATTAGCAACAGAAGCAAGAAATTAAGCCGCTTTACCATTAAATTTACAAACAGTTATGACAATATTGTAGCCAGCTACATTAATGTCTCTTTGTGGCATATTTATAACAGCGGAGTAAAAATGCATGTGCATGATCAACACATGTAAAATGTAATGACAGTGCAGATTAAAAATGAATAAATGGCAAAAAAAACTAAAAACATTTGCCTCAGTTGGTCCAAAACACTTTCTCTGGCACTAGGTCGTTCTTGTCAAGTCCTGTCTTGGATCAAGGAGTTAGTCAGATCTACACTAAGTCAGTCTATCATTGTTTTCCGGCATGAGATGTAAAATAACCATGTAAAAGTGAGAGTTGGGCAATAACGGACTGGTGTGCTATTCATATATAAAGCACACAAGCTCATGAGCTCCAGTGTTACTGTGAGATTACATTCACACACAGTAATGAAGTGGATAGAGAATCTTCAGATTTGTTCTTTCTTTGTGTCAATTTACCTGCTGACACAAGCTGAATGTGGTAAGAGCATTGCTTTGATGGCTCTGTCTGTCCTCTTTCTGACAAGAGAAGGAATGGTTGTATGATACTTTGATTGTGATTTAGGTCCTGTGGATGCAGCCTTAGCTAGGAGTGATGAAAAAGATGCTCCGATTATGGTAGGTTTCATGTACATTTCACTGTGGTTTCCGACATTTTATTTTATTTTTTTTAGATATGACTACTTGTAGTCATACTATGAATTTAAATAGGGTCTATACTTGAATCAGTATACAACTAAACTTACAATTAAATGTTTTTATTATTCTCACAAAGGCTGCATTTATGTGATCAAAAATACTGTAAAACAATATTGTGAAATATTATCACATTTTAAAATAACTGTTTTCTATTTTAATGCATTTTAAAATAAATTTATTCCTATGATGGCAGCACCACTGAATTTTCAGCAGCCATTGTCACACAATCGTTTAGAAATCGTTATAATGTACTGATTTCTTATTATTATCATTGACTGTTGAAAACAGTTGTGCTGCTTACTATTTTTTTGTGGAAACTGATCTATTATTTTCAGGACTCTCTGATGAATAGAAAGAACAGTATTCATTTGAAATAGAAATCTTAAATAAATATTAATTCATTGCAAAAACATTTTGAATGGTGTACATGATAAGTTTAACTTATCAAAACTGTGCAGCTTTGATAAATCAAGCTAAATAATTATATCATTAGAAAATTGGATATTTCTATATTTAAATTAATGTCTTTCACAGTGCAAAAACTCAAGGTCTAAAGTGAATTTTTCCACACATTTTAGGCACATAGGGGTTTCACAAGAGAAAGAAGAGCTATAGAGGTGTGGCTGTTTTTTAATCTTTATGTTGTTGTTTTTTGTGGGTGTTTTTCACATATCATTTTCATTTTACATGCATGCACTTTTAAATGTACTTAATGTTGTTTTTAAATACATTTTCATTATCTCTCTGTAATCTACTAAGGACTGTTCAGGTATGTGAATTATATTTTTCTTTACTATATTTTATTCAGAACCATTTTAATCATATGTGACCCTGGACCACAAAACCAGTCATAAGTAGCACAGGTATGTAGCAATAGCCAACAATACATTGTATGGGTCAAAATTCAGTAAAGATAATTTTCCATGAAGATACTTCGTAAATTTCCTATACCGTAAATATATCAAAACTTCATTTTTGGTTAGTAATATGCATTGCTAAGGACTTAATTTAGGCAACTTTAAAGGCGATTTTCTCAAAATTCTGATTTTTTTTTGCACCCTCAGATTCCAGATTTTCAAATATTGTCCTATCCTAACAAACCGTACATCAATGGAAAGCTTATTTATCCATCATTCAGATGATGTATAAATCTCAATTTCAAATTGACCCTTATGACTGGTTTTGTGGTCCAGGGTCACATATATTAATATTAATTCATATTAATATTAAACACAAGATATTAGATTCTGATATGAAAATATGAGTTTTAAACTTCAACCAGTTCTACCATAGGTTGGGGTGTACATCCTAGTAAAACACTGTACAAATTAACTAGAAAGAGTTAGTCTTATGAATATTTTATTTAATAAAAATCTCAGGCATTATGATCATCATCTGTACTTCTTTAGGCCTCCGGAAAGATCTTGATGAGATGAAGATTAAATGTAGGGATTCTTATAAAGTAGCGAAGAACAATATTGATGGTGAGTCAACCCATCTTTATTCTAGACAAATCTCAAAGTATATATATATATATATATATATATACAGTGGGTACGGAAAGTATTGAGACCCCCTTAAATTTTTCACTCTTTGTTATATTGCAGCCATTTGCTAAAATCATTTAAGACACACACATACATATATATATATATATATATATATATATATATATATATATATTAACCATGCAGTTCCATCCTGGACTTATATTCATAAAAAATATTTATATTGGTGGACATGTTTGCAGGTCTTAAAAGCGAGCTGAATGGTCTTGTTAAACAAGTCAGTACCAGTCCAGCCAAGGATGGTAAGTGGAAAATCATGATACTGGTGAACATAGCTGTAACATGTTATTTTATTCTGTGACATATTATAATTGATTAGCAAAAAAGACAATGGTTGACACTTTTTACCCTTGTGTTCCACCCATTCAGTCTTAAACATTCTCCAGAAAGTCATTAACCTACAGGAGCTGGACGCGATAATAAGCTCTGAGAGAGATGCCACAAAGATTGAAAGTGTGTTGCAACAATATTACTTTTAGTATTAACTTCAATATTATCTCAATATCCCATGTATATTCACACAGTTTTTATCTAAAATTCAACAGGACTGGACAAGCGTCGAAAGGATGCAGAGAGAGACTTAGCAGGGATCAAGACAGAATTCTCAGGAAGTGTAGAAATTTTCGAGCGGGCAGGTAGAGATGCACCCCTGTGCATGGAGCAATACCACACTGACACTGCATTTCGAGTCCTTGCTCAATTCTTAACCAAAGGAAACTGAAGTAATTGTTTGTTCATTTTTCTTCATCTAGTTTCAAAGATAAGCACAGAGACACTGAAAAGCGATAAGGCAACCTCAACACCTCTTAATGGTGTGTATGACCAAAACAGGTCACTTTTGATTTATATCATCTACAGGCAGCCTCATCATCAGTGAATGGCCTACCTAAAATAAGTAATTCAACCCAAAACTGACTAAAATGCATGTGCTTATATATGTATATCTAATCTACAGAATTAAAGAAATATCTGGAAGACAAGCTCCAACAACCAGGGGAAAAAGGTGGCATTGCAGACCAGGGTGAGTTCAATGAGAATGAGAGCAATGGATCACAAAACTTTTAGCATATTTTAGTATTTGTTTTGAAAGGTTTTGAAAATTTGTCATAGCAGTTTGATTGTTTTCCACGAGAGAATACAATTTGTTTTATTTTTAGTGCTGCAGATTGTTATATTGCAAATTAAAGCAATGGAACTGAAGACGCGTATCTCTGGTAAATTTAAGACGCAAGCGCAGATGGATGGTGAGTGTTCATTATTGATGTTTACAAAATCCTTATCAGGCCAGGAAGTTATGAAGTTGCAGTTTTGAGATGATTAGAGCAAGTTTACTTTTAGTAATGTATGATTGTTGCATCTCTTTTTGAATGTTTGATAGTAATTATAAGCAAACTGGAGTATAAAAATGGCCTTCTATCAGATCTGAAAGAGGAACGAGAAGTGAGGAGAGAAAACAGAGAAAAAATTGGTATGGTTTGTTTTCTAGTTTTGTTTTGTTTTTTGTAGCTCCACAGTAAATTTATACAATCTATAATCCATTATGTGACAAATAAGAGGTTCCTGATTACTGCAGCATATCCTTTTTCTGTTTTCCATTTTGTGCTCACAGATATACTCATAGCAGCACTGGAGAAAGAAATATTAGAGCTGAACGGCAAATTATCAGCTCTTAAACAAATATTTGTTCAGCTTGATGGTACTGGAATCAGACTAGAAATGATTTATGAATAATTTAGCATATTATATTTAGATGTGGGAATCACTACTTCATCCTGACAATAATTTGTATCTTTTAGAACAGACAAATGAATTTGATGGGAAAAGAATAGAAATAATGGACAAACTTGCCAAATTTAAGGGAAAAGATGAGATAAGTAAGTTTCTTTCATTTAAACATACCCGATTCTCATTTCTCGTGAATTATTGTTTCTAGTGGCACTGTTTTTGGAAAAAAAATCATCATTACAATTTATAATACTTTTGCTACTTTTAGTTTCTAGAATTCTTAAACTCCAGTTTGAATTTATGGAGGCACTAATTACGGGACAGGGACAAATGAAAGCAGACGAATTTAAGATAAATGGTGAGATCTGAATGGTTTTTAATTATTATTATTATCTTTTTTTATTTCGGTTTTTTCATAAGCAGCTTTAAGAATTGTGATGTTTATGTGATCTTGGGTTATTCCCTCTTAGATCTCCAGAAAGAGCTTGGAAAGGAACAGGACAGGGCATTATATCTGGATGCTGACAACAAAAGTAAGATTGATATATTGTTTTGTAATTACTTACAATTATAGCAAATGTAATACGGATGCTCATGGATGCTTAATCCATACAGATGAAAAAACACTTTTCTGCATTAATTTATTTAGCAGATACTATTGCCCAATTCAACTTACTTGCCAAATTTAAGGGAAAAGATGAGATAAGTAAGTTTCTTTCATTTAAACATACCCGATTCTCATTTCTCGTGAATTATTGTTTCTAGTGGCACTGTTTTTGGAAAAAAAATCATCATTACAATTTATAATACTTTTGCTACTTTTAGTTTCTAGAATTCTTAAACTCCAGTTTGAATTTATGGAGGCACTAATTACGGGACAGGGACAAATGAAAGCAGACGAATTTAAGATAAATGGTGAGATCTGAATGGTTTTTAATTATTATTATTATCTTTTTTTATTTCGGTTTTTTCATAAGCAGCTTTAAGAATTGTGATGTTTATGTGATCTTGGGTTATTCCCTCTTAGATCTCCAGAAAGAGCTTGGAAAGGAACAGGACAGGGCATTATATCTGGATGCTGACAACAAAAGTAAGATTGATATATTGTTTTGTAATTACTTACAATTATAGCAAATGTAATACGGATGCTCATGGATGCTTAATCCATACAGATGAAAAAACACTTTTCTGCATTAATTTATTTAGCAGATACTATTGCCCAATTCAACTTACAAATGAGAAAAATAACACAATTTGTCATAGTATTCACAATATGCAATGTTAATATTAGCCTTGTCTTTATCCCAAATGGAACATGTATTGTTAATGTATCTATAATTTCTTCAACACCCAGGTTTACGCAAAAAGTTGTTTGTCCAGACAGAACAATGCAAAGACCTGATGGATCTGTACATGAGTGAGACATTTTACTCTTCTTGACTCCCAGCAAGCAGCCATATGAAAGCTTTGTTCTCATGAAAGCAACAGGAGAAATTTAAACGGGATTATTAAATGCTATTTGCAGATTATGCTAAAAAAAAAAAAAAAAAAAAAAAAAAGAAATCATTATTTACGTTGTCTTTTCCAGATGCAGAAGCTGAACTGGATATTCAAGTAAATAATATATTAGATAAAACCTCAAAGGCAGGTGAGTTGAGTGAAATTTTAGACACAAACTATAACAATTTTTTTTACATGCATTTAATTTAACATACATGGCAACATTTTCTTTCCACAGCTCTCCAGATTATTTTGCTAGGCTTCGAAATAGACCAAATAATGAAGCAAATTAAAGCATCCTCATCTAATGACGGTATGTCTGTTTTTTTGTACTTTTATAATTCAGTTTGAAAAACAATCAGCATTAATCGGGTACTTAGGGTAACAATTGAAACCATTTCTAACGTATATTTTTCTGTACTGCGTTTCAAAAACCGTTTTTTCCAGTTTTCATGTGGAAATGTAATATTTACTTTTTTGTACATTTATAATAGATTTGAAGCGAATACGGGATGAAAAACTCAAAGAACTGACGTTGAAAAAGGAGGAACTTCAGAAAAGTGACGCTAGCTCTGAAAAAAGTGTGACTCTTTGCATTAATATCTACCACACATCTTTATGTCTTTTGACTCACATCTAAGCATGTTTTTGTCTCTGCTTGTCAGTTCTTAAAGTGATATCGCAGATGGAGGAAATCTGGAAGATACAGAGTGAAGATCCAGACAACTTAAATAAAATCAGCAGTGAGTATATAGTGCGGTATACATACAGTAGTTATGCTAATGGGAAAAAATTGATTGTAAAGGCCAATTCAGACCACACCGACATGACACAGACAAACATGTTCATCGGGTTTTGTCTAATCAGTGTGTTTCCCCCTTCGGCTTCTGTTGGTGTTGGTTGGTGGCAGCGCATGGTTTCGATGATTTAACCTGTTGAATCAGTGTTTGTTGGTTGTCTGAGAAGTGACGCACTGTACTCGGTCAGCTGTCGGCGTCGGTGTAAATTGACCTCAAGGTTTCAACACACATTCTGTTTTGGTTTCAGATCTGCAGAAGGATCTCCTGAACTTGATAAGCAAATTAGATGATAAAATGGCTTCAAAACCAAGTGAGTGGAGAGTTATGGTCCTTGTTTGGAACTAAGGCTCATGTTATTTGCAGTTATGTTCACACCCATACCTATAGATAGTTTGGTAACACTTTAGTATAGGGACCAATTCTCACTATTAACCAGTTGCTTATTATCATGCCTATCATTGGCAGTTTGTGAGTATTTAGAAAGCACATATTCTGCATGACCATATTCTACATCTCTAATCCTACCCAATACCTAAACTTAACAACTAATTTACTAACTATTAATACGTAGCAAATTAGGAGTTTATTGAGGCAAACGTATGGTTTGTTAATAGCGAGAATTGCTATTAACAAACCATAAAGTGTGACCGATAGTTAAAAAAATGTACTTTATGAATATTACACAAGCTCAAATCATCAGTTCATCTATGTACCAAATTCATCATTTGTTCAGATATGTTTGGCAGAACAATCAATATTACTATTATTTTTGTTTGTCTCAGTGCTGAAAATCATTGCTCTCCAGTCTGATGTTACCTGGATAAGAGAAATGCTGAAAACTGTGACTACACAGGCTGAGATCCAGAAAGCTGGTTGGCATTGATACTTTTCAATACTTTAAAAGAGGTATAAATAATGGTGCAACATTTCTTAATATTGCTATATTTACATTGACTTCTGACAGAGCTTCAAAAGGCACTGGATGACGTAAAACGTTTGCTGAATGAAAAAAACAAAGAGCTGGCTGCTGCGACCGGTGATGTCAGTCAGATACGTGAGTGAAACCTTACGTTTTCAGAGCTCAAACAATAACTGAAATGGCAATCTTAGCTGTCATGTCAAATGCTTGATTTACAGAGAAAGATATTGCTGCTCTGAAGAAAGAAGTTTTGACATTGCAAATCCAAAAAGACACAACTGAAAGGAATGCGATGCAGAAGATTAAAGGTATAGCACATTCATTCAGCAGCACTGATTTTCATGGTCATTTTTTCTTTGATTTAAACTAATGAATTGAATTGAATTGTTTTCTCTTTCACAGATCTTCAAGATAAACTAAAACAGAGTGAGGAGGCATTGGATGATGCCAATAAATCACTAAAAGAGAAGAATGCCACACTATCACAACAAAGTTAGTCACTGAAGAGATTCACCAAATCAGAAAGTGATGTCTGGTTGCTATAAATGATCAGGATTGGAAGACTTGTCAGATCATTGCTATATAACATTTTAATCTAATGTCCCCTTAGTTGCAAAGATCAACAATCTCTTAGACGAAGTGAGAACCTTGAAACAACAAGTGCAAGAAAAAGGATCCCAAGTAAATGCTAGAATAGCTGGTGAGTTTCATTCAATCCATCCATCCATCAGTTACAATCTCTTGCAATCGTTTAACAGCAAAGCACATCAACATTGGAGCTCTCCATTAATTCAAGAACACAACTTGCTGCTGTTCTTTTTTAGATCTTAAAAGGAGCCTAACGAGGAAGGAGGAGGAAAATGCCAAAATTCGTGCTGAGAATGAAAGTAAAACAACATATTACTGCAGTCTTCAGTAATGTAGGACATTTACATCATCGTCTAAAGAAGATTTCCTTATCTTGCCTATTCTGTCTCTCTCTCTAGAGCTGAGAAAAGATTGCGTGGACACTGCTGAATGCCCTGAACTCCAGAAAAAATATAACGGTACCTTATCTTTCTATCTTTTGTGAACTGGATTTGGACAGTTGTGTAAACAGGATACTTGGTGGCTGTGTTACAGAAATGCAGGCTGAATATAACGATACCATTTCTAAGCTGAACAATGACATTCTTAAGAAGGGTGAGTGAAGATTCATAATTAAACTGGTTTATAATTAAATTGATGACAAATCACAAAATATTATAAATAATGCCATGAAAACGCAATAAAACAAAAACAAAAAAAAACATCATGTTGTGTTAAATCCAAAGTCGATATCTTACACTCTTTTATACTGTCACATAATTCTCTCTGTCCAATGTTGTTGTTGTTTTCAGCTTATATCATTAAAAGTCTAATGGATGAAGTTCAGTACCTGGATGAGCAAACCGCACAAGGATTCCCAGGTAATGAAGGTGTGTTCATTGATTCTGATATCGCATAAACTGCAGTACTTTTAGACATACACATTAAAAGCAGATTCAACCAGTGCACATACATTAATGTTTTTAAAAAGAAGTCTCTTATGCTCACCAAAAATACAGTAAAAACACTTATTGTGAGATATTATTACAATTTAAGATAACTGATTTCTATTTAAATATATTTTGACAATTAAATTTATTTTTGTGCTGGCAATGCTGAATTTTCATTCGTCAGTGTAACATGATCCTTCAGAAATCATTCTAATATGCCAATTTGGTGCTCAAGAAACCATTATCATTATTATTATTATTATTATTATTATCAATGCTCAAAACAGTTGTGCTGCTTAATATTTTTGTGGGAACCATAAGACATTTGATGAACTAAACGTTTTTTTGAACTTTATTTATTTACACTAAAACTCTTGACTGTCACTTTTGACCAATTTCATGCATCCTTGCTGAATAAATGTAAACATTTAGCAAAGAAAAAAACTTACTGACCCCAAACGTTTGAATGGTAGTGTACATTCATTCATTTTACATCACATGTGGAATGGGTAAAACTTTCAATAGTTTGATGTGCTTTTCAATATATGGTTATCTGCTTCTTAGAACTGAAGCTAGAACTTGAAGAAAAGAAAAGAGAATTGAAGGAGGCAAAGCAGAAATTGCATGCTGAGGGATCCATATCAGCCAAAAGTGAGTCCAACCCCATTTGACCAATTTTGGGACGTCTTTATCTGAAGAGAGACTATTGCACACTTACACAATGCTTTGTTACAGCTCTGGATGTACTTGAGTTGCTAACTAATATAGGGAAGCTTCAAGAAAATCCAACTGAAGACAATTCAGAAAAGATCCGCAGTAAGTTTAAACAAATCCATTTATGTACTCTCATTTTTCATTTCTTCCTTTAAAAAAAACATTTAATCCATTGTCTTACAATTAGTGATGTTCTTCTCTTCATTTAGAACTGGAAGCTCAATTAAATGGTTTGCTGGCTGAGTTGCAAAACTCTGGAGAGAAAGGGCTTGGACTGGGTGAGTTCAACCAGTAGAGCATGCATGGTGCTAGCAACGCCAAGGTCATGGGTTTGATTCTCAGGGAACACATGAACTGATGAAATGTATACCATTGTTAAAAGTGTCTGCCAAATGTGTTCACGTAAATGTTTTACTTTTATATTTATACAGCCTTGAAAATAATGTCTATAAAGGAATCAATGTCTAAACTAAAACAAGCACAAGCACAAATGCAAGAGAAATATGCAAAGGAAGTCAATGGTAAGTTAATCTTCAATGCATCAATATCAGAAGATTGGTAATTATTCGTTTGAGTAATAGTGGAAACAAAGACTACTAAACAGATATTATTGTTGTTGTCAGGATTAAAGAGTCAAATAGAGAACAAAGAAAAAGAGATTTTGCTGTTGCGGGCTAACTGTGAACTGTCAGATAAGCTGAGTAAGTAAAAGTGAAAAAAAGGCACCAAAGAATATTTTTTGGAAGTGATTTTACCCATCCTTTACAGCAGTGGTCACCAACCTTTTTAGGCCCAAGATCCCTGACCTCGGCCTTTATGAAAGACAAGATCTACCTATTGAAGAATTGATAGAAAAAGACATCCCAGATTGTACTTCAAATTTGAGGCCTTTTACTTAGTATTTTAATTAGTGATGCGCCGATCATAGCTGATTCAGAATTCAGAGTCTGGATTCATTGAAAGATTAACAGATACCATCTGAAAAATTAGTAAAACTACCTCTTTCCAAAACTCCTGCACCTTAGGACAACCCCACACGCAGTGCAAAAGTGTGCCTTTATCAGATGTGCATTTAATGCATGTGTCTGGAGTATTCTTACAAATTTTGTTTAACCTAACTGGAGTAAAATACGTTCTCATTATCCAGTTGTACTGTATTAATTTAAGATTACTGTTAATAGTTTGAGCCTTGAGCCTTTATACATATTTTTTCCCATGTATCTAAGGAAATGTTCATTTTTAAATCTTCTCTCCAAGAGATCAGTTTGGATTCTGAAGACTCTTTAGAGTAAAACATCGATATTCGACGGGTTGGCGACCACTGCTTTACAGGGATAGTTAAATGTTGTCATTATTTACTCACCCTCAAGGTGTTCCAAACCTATGAGTTTCTTTCTTTTGTTGAACATAAAAGTAGGAATTTTGAAGAATGTGGGTAACCAAACATTTGCTGGTCTCCACTGACTTCCATAGTATGGGGAGCGAAAACTGTTTAGTTACCCACATTCTTCAAAATATTTTCTTTTGTATTCAGCAGAAGAAAGAAATTCATACAGGTTTGGAGCAGCTGGAGTGTGAGTAAATTATGTCAAAATAATAATTTCACCAAATGTGCATATTTCCTACCAGATATGTAGGCCTACTCTGCATTTTAAACCAATGTGTTGTTACTATGACATGCTCCTTCTTTTTTCATGAACAGAGGACAGGATACAAAATCTAGAAAAGGAACTAGAGGAAAGCAAACAAAATGTTAAAAAACTGCAACAAGAATCAAACGATAAGATTGCATGTAAGTTTCAGCGAAAATGCATACTGTTGTGATACCATCACAATTAAAGCAGCACTATGTAACTTTTTCTGTGTTCAAAATTAGCAAAATGTATATAATGAGCGAGTACATCATGAATTCATCTTCCAAACCGCGTTTTTGTCTTATTCCGAATCACTACGGTACACTTATAATAAGTACTTATATTTGGACTATTGTAGCCGGGTCGGGTCGTCACCGCTGCGGAGTAACACATACCTGCGTGAATCGCCATAGACATAAACTTAGAGAAGTAGCTCCGGTTGGAATGTTCTTCCGCGGGATGTGTGCAGTTCTGTTTATTAACCGCTAGAGCGCCAAAAGTTACATAGTGCTGCTTTAACTTTTATTTCTTTATAATGATGCATTTTAAACATGTACATAGCTTTCTGTTATCAAATATTATCATGTCATTTTTTCCTCAGCACTACAGAAACAAATTAAATCAAAGGACCAGCAGCTTGCTAACACTGAAGATCAACTGCAAAAGACAAATGCTGAAAATGCTGCTTTGAGTAAGAAAAGCTAGTTATGAATAAAGACAACAACATTGCAGAATTAATCAACCCCACATTTATGTTTGATTCCATATTGTCACTTTTGCATGGTTAGGCATTCCAAGAATTTCAGTTTTCTGTCTTTTGTTTCAGTCAAACAGCTGAACAATCTGAATGATGACTTGAAGAAACTCAAAGAGGAGAAAAATAAGGCACTGCAGAATGCAAAAGAAGAAATTGACGGTATGACCACATTGTCAAAACACCAAAGACATGTGCTTGAATAATTATCAAGTTCACTTTTCCAGTACTATACAATTTTTTTAAGATTGCTGGAGTGATTAGACGTGTTGGAAAAAGCAATGATCAGCATGTGAGAAACAAACTGCGAAAAGTGCCATGTTGACATACTTCTATCTTTAACCTCAAATTTGACCCATTATACCAAGGTAGAATCAATTTGACCATTTCTTTCTTTTTTTTTTTTACTAACTGCATTTTTGTGATCAGGTTTAAAAGAGAAATTGCAAAAACAGGAAAGAGCGCTTACTGAAAAGGATTGGTACCTGAGGGAGAAAAATGAAGTCATTGCTGCATTGAAAAAGCAACAGGACAATATGAAGGGCGAGCTTGAAAAAGTAGAGAACAAAAACAGAGGTCAGTGAAAAGGTCATCCTCTGCTTAAAAACTGAGGAATATTTGGTTCAAAAATGGGAAAATTCAGAGTATTGTCAATCAGATTTGCTACAGATAAAATGTAATGATGCTACAAATTACACAATTGATGCATGTTACTCAAACTTTTTTTTGTCCAGAGCTAGAGACAGAGCTTAAAGCGAAGGACCAGCAACTTGCTAAAACTGAAGCCAAACTAAAGGAAATAAATGCTGAAAATCAAGACTTGGGTAAGAATAAAATCATTGAATAATGAAAGACTGAATTGCTGATTGAAAATCCCATATAAATTGTGTAAAAATGAATTAGCCCAAGCATTGTTTTCTTTTCTTTTCTTTTTTTACATATTATATAATTGCATATGCATACAGTAATTTGATTATTTCTTGCCCTTTGTTTTAGTTCACAAGCAGAAGAAACTTGAAAAGGAACTACAAAAAATTACAGGGGAGAAAAATGAATTACAGGAAGAAATCTCTGGTATGACAATACAGTCAAAATACCACAGAAGCAAAAACATGATAAAGTTTACGTGTCCAGTATTTTTTACATGCTTTTACATTGCCCAATCAGCAGATGTAAATGTGCTCTGCGGCTTTATATTTTATAATGGGATCTATTATATTGTATTCAAAACTCAAATTGTTCATTTGAACATTTTCTAAGCCTAATAAGTTTTTTCATCCCTTTTATCAGATCTAGAAAAGACATTGGAAGCAAAAAAACAAGAACTTGCTAAGAAGGACCAGAAACTCCAGGAGAAGGACAAAGAAGTTGCTACACTGCAAAAGGAAAATGCAGATACAAAGGCCGAGCTTAAAGAAGAGAAAAAAAAAATAAACGGTGAGTGGGGTGCAATAATCTTTCAGTATAGTGAACAATGCAAATTAAATTTGGCCTGGGACCAAATATCTTTTGCATGTATCTGTGATAGGTAATCTGACAGGTTTTAATATTTTCACAATATTTATAGGTGTGATCAATGAGAACGAGAAACTTAGACAAAACCTGGAGGAGACTAAAAAGAAAGTAGAGGAACTTAAGGGTGAGAGATTTCTTTTATCTAAGCCAGAAGTATTACTAGCTTTATTTTCACAATTAACAATGTATGGTTTTATTTCTTTTATAACTCTTTATCCAGAAATTATAAGTGAAAAAAAAGAACCTCCTAAGAGTGGTAAGTTTGTGATCTCAGTCTGGTTATAATATACAGCTAAATGCAATCAAACAAAAAAAATGTCTGTCTGTGTGCCCACCTCAGAATGGCCGAGGTTTGATGCAGACACTGCCCACCGCAGACTCATCTTGTCACAGGATGAGAAAGAAGCACGTACCTCTTTATTCCCTCAGCCTGTACCTGACAGTCCTGAGCGCTACGACACAGCTATTGCAGTTCTGGGAAAAGACGGATTTGATTCTGGAAAGCATTACTGGGAAATAGGGGTGATTGGAAGAAATTGTTATGTTGTGGGTGCAGCCAGGGCGTCCGCTCAGAGAAAAGGTATTTTGAGATATGGCCCTTCAGCTGGCTATTGGGTTATTCAGAAGAATAGAGGTTCAAAACTTTTTGCCAATGCTGACAGGCATGTCCATCTACAAGCTGAGGAACCTTCTGTAATTGGGGTCCAGTTGGATTTTAAAAATAATAAGGTAACTTTTTATAATGCAGAAAAAAAGCTTGAAATCTTTATCTTCACTGGCAATGAGCTGCAGGGGGAAATCCATCCATTTGTTGAAACCTGCAGTGATACTAATTTAAATGAGCCTCCCTTGATCTTAAAGAAAACTCAATCCACAGACTGGCTCAAGCAGTGATCTCCATGTATTAGGAGTCTGTTTTTGTATCCAAAGAAAATGCTTTCTGCTTTGATATCTTGGCTTATTGCTACTCTCAACTGCATGCTTGAATGGCATCTTTCATTTTAATAAATCATCTATATTTCAGAAACATAAAAATTTATCTAATATGTTGGTGTCTTTTTTAACATTTAAATGGATGATTCATGCAGAAATGCAAAATCTGTCAGCATTTACTCACCCTCATATTGACCTACTTTCTTACTTAAAGGAGATACTTTGCAAAATGTCTCAAGTGTTTTTTGTTCATACAGTGGTATGGACAAGTCAATGGTAGCCAGAACTGTTTGCTTGTCAACATTCTTCGAAATATCTTCTTTTATGCAGAAGAAACAAACACATACAGGACTGGAATGACATGAGGGTCAGTAAACAATGACAACATTTTTAATTATGGATGAACTATCCCTTTAAAATCAAGAGAGAATTTCTGTGAAGCTTGTAACAGCAAATCCATGTACAGAAAACATAAATAGTGAAAAAAAAAATTATTTTAGAAAAACCTTTAGGGAAAAAGCATTGTATGAACAGCCTCAATCTTTGCCTGCTGTTCCAGAAACCCGGCTATAGAAGTACGCAACAAAGGCTGGATCCTTCTCCTCTAAGCTGTTCAAAAAGGCATTTCTCTCCTCTTTACTCCATGAATCAAACCACTGAGTCCACAGTCTTAACTGGCATTCAAAAATGTTGGGTGGGCGATCATTCACCTGAAACGCAGAGACAAAGAAGGTACCAACATTATCATACAGATCAACCTGCTTAGCATTAATTGATTATGTCAGATAGATAGTTACAAACATACATAAACAGCTGATAAAAGCTGATCACAATTATCCACAAGTATCAACATGTTTTAAGTCCATCAATTAGCATCTTGTGACGTTAAAAGCATGTTTGTAATAAATTCACTATTAAGATGTTTTTAACTTCAACCTGTTGCTTACAGCTAAAATATGAGTCCTCTATCCATAATACTGCTTTCTCAAATGAAAAGTTGTCTCATCTGAATCAGGAGAGAAATATGCACAAATCAAGTGCACAACAAAACAAGTGAAAATAGTCCAAACAGCTCTAAACAAATATGTTGGTGTATTTTAATGTGAGAGGACAACAGGAGATGGAATTTTACACTGGATGTGTTATTATGGATTATGGACTAGTATGTTGTCTGAAAGTGATGGATTAAAGTTAAAACGCCGTAAAAATGAATTTGTTTCTTATAAATATGCAGCTTTTCAATTCACAAGATGTTAACTGATGGACTAGAGTTGTGTGAATTACTAGGTTGTGGATTATTCTGATATTTTTATCAGTTGTCTGAACTCTCATTCTGACGCCACCCATTCACTGAAGAGGATCCATTGGTGATCAAGTGATTTAATGCTAAATTTCTCCAAGTCTGTTCCGATGAAGGAACAAACTTATCTACATCTGGATGGTGTGAGGGTGAGTAAATTGTAAGCAAATTTTCATTTTTGGGTGAACTATTCCTTTACATACAAGGATCACACAACAAAGAAAAGGGCATGAAGTTGCACATAAATTAATCAAATAAAATACCTGCAGTGTGTTGAGTTGGTCTAATAAACTGGACACCTTTCCAGGCACAGCCTTTGAAATCAGATCTTCCAGAAAGCGTTGCTTCTGGACAGCGTTCCATCCTAAAAACCAACTTAGTACACATCGTTGTTCCTGAAGCGTCACGAAGGACAGCGTCACAGAGTCTTCTCTGGAGCCCATGTTGAGGGATGTGCAGGACAGTGCTTCCAGACGTTGGGGAACGATGCCTCCTGAAGCAAGCGGAAAGTCTGTGATGGAAACTGGAAGAAGTGTTGACCAACCTTGTCCATCAGACATCCCTAACTGTGTAATGGTGTGCTTGGAGACCTGTGTATGGGACAGATCTTCCACTGTAGGGGGCATCATGGATCCATCTGGCTGGCCCGAGCCTTGTAAAGCCTGCTGGAACCAAGCCATTTCTAATAAAGACAGAAAAAGGATTTCAGAGGGATTATCACTGATGGTACTAAACAAAACTATAGCGTTAAAAGAAAGTGGTTGCCTTAATGTTGTTGAGCATTTTTATAACTTACACAAACTGAAACACTGAATAAACCAAGTTCATGCATTTTAACATAACGTTACATCGTAACCTCAAATGCTTCATAAAACTGTTAGTTTTGTTGTGCATCGTACCATGTAGGCTACACTTATATTTACTTCCTTGTTACGACATATGCTTGCTAACGTCAGAATGCTAGCTGATCACAACAAACGAGTAACCACCTTTTTAACTATTACTTGAAACAAAATGTAATTCTAAATAAAATGTTACCCTTTTCTTAGTTGGAATTGTCACCTCTCGTCGAAAACAGCATGTTTTTACTTTTAACGTCGGTAACCAGATGGAAAATAATCTCGACTGAGCCGAGAAGCTCAAACGGAGCCGCTCGCTCTCGCTGTGTTCAATAAACCGCTTGCATCGGCTCTGACACAGGGGGGCTCTGCATATTAGCAATGTCCTATTCGTGAACGAATCTTTCTTTTTGATCGGATCTTTTCACATTGTTCACAAACCCGATCTAAACGTCTTGCTCACGAATCTTCTTCGGTTTTATGGCGGGTAGCACCGATGTTAAAGGGGTCATATGATGCTGCTAAAAAGAACATTATTTTGTGTATTTGGTGTAATGAAAAAGAAAATAAAACATTCTTTACCTCAATAAGATTTTCCCTCTAAATTCACTTAATCAGCTCTGTTCTCTTAAGATACAAAAATAAACTTTCTAGTCCATAAGTAAATATATTTTTATGAACATGAATCTGTGCAAAGTATAACCTTTTTTATTTGAGTCTCCTCTATCTACTGTAGTGCTGTTGCTATTGCCATCATCTCTACTGTGTATACTGATATTCAGTATTCAATATCTTGAGTGATACTTTATCATATCCCATCAAACCTAATTTATGATTAAGTTGATTTCTTTCTCTTTCATACGCATCACATTCTAGAAGAATGTGCTTTACTGTTTCTGGATTTGCTCACGAATCTGACTGAATGATTCATTAATGAAATGAACTGGATCAGTAAGGCCAGTTGTTGAGTCAACGACTCAGCGAGAGTAGGCTCTTTTGAACATGTCCGATTCATATAAAGGATGTTACTGAAGGACGTTACTTTAGTAACCTAATAGCAGAAATGTTATAAATAAAACATCGTTTTCAGCAAAGATTGTAACTGAATTGACTTTAAACTGATTTTAAAAACTGATTCACTAAAACGAAAGGTTCGAAACAACTAATTGCCTAAAATAAATCGTCCTTTGCCTTGTCGTACGCAAAATCTCAAAAATCTGTATTTATTCTTTTTAATTATAAAAAATATTTATAGTGGCAATTGTGGTTTTACCTACGACGTGGGACATCATAAACGTGGATTCATGCATTCAGAATTTCAGACAGTGATACTGGAGAACCAAATTCAGTATATATTATTGATTATGCATATTATGTACTGGCAAACTGAGATGAACCCAGAATATGAACGAAGTTCGTTAATACTTAACGAGGTTAATCACAAAAACAATTGGAGAACAAATTGAAGTATGTATTTAATTGAGTGTGCCTATTATGTACAAAACTATATCCAGAATATAAAAGCACGAGATTAATAACTGTTTATTAATTAGAAAATGCTTAACGCTTCAGCTTGCATTGCATCCACAGCATAAACAGCTTGAATACTGGACTATATAATTTTATAGGCTAACTTAATAATTGCATCTTTGTTAGCCTTTGCAATGGTTTTATGCTGAAACGGAAAATTACATTAAGCAATTCTATCATGTCCAATGTGGTTTAAGCCCATGAATGCATTCTTCTTCTTCATGTCCCATAAATACATGTTAACTGCCTGTTACTTTGTAAAACATCGACAACTTCGAAATCCTTCCTCTCTCTGTGCTTCCACTCCGCCTCTTCCGGAAGCACTCATGGCGCGCTGACGTCGGTGAGGAAGGCGTTGCGGTCCGCGTGAGCTACAGAACGAGCGAAGGGAATCAAGATGGCGGACCTCGAAGACGTTACGCTGGACGGGAGGCCGCTCCATTCGCTCCGGGTGGCGGATTTGAAGGCGGCATTGGAAGAGAGAGGGCTTCCGAAAAGCGGACAGAAGAATGCTCTCATCAAGAGGCTCAAAGGGGTGAGTGGGAGTTGCAGGATTCTCGGCTCCGCAGAGTCCGAGGACCGTGATTCGGAGGCCGAGCGTCGGTGGTCTCTCGCTAGCTGCTAGCGCGCACTAGCTGGGGTGCTCATCCAGTGTGTAGTGTGTCATCATGTCCCCCCGCTGTTGCCTGTGTGTGTGAGTGACGTGCAAAAGCGCCGTTTATTTCCCATGCATGTGAGTTTTGGGAGGGCGCAGACGTCGCGGAGGGTTCGGGGCGATGCGGTTGTGTTTACAAGTCTCTGGATGGATGGGAACTGGGAGTTTTTTTTTTTTAAAGTTGTCGGCGGGCTCGCGCTTTGTTAGTGCATAAGGTGTTAGGGGGGTGGGGGGTTATGAAACGCGGACGCGCTTATTAAAAGTCTCTAAAAAATTACGTTTTTGAAAGATTAAACGCCTCTTATCCCTTGAATGTCATGTGCTTTTGCTGAAATAAACACTGAAGTCGCATCGCGGTTGCTTTGCGTCGGTGGGAGGATTTGATTGATTGATGTGCCGAGCGCCGCAGCTGCTTTGAAGTTTGAGCTGAAGTTACTGTTACTGAACGGATGTAAACATCTCTGTCTATCACTGTCTTGATTAGGTTCTTATTTAGTGCACTTGCTTGGTTTGTATATAATGTAACTATCAGGAGTAAATCCATATGTATGTTTCAATTATGATCATCAAATAATCAATGAATAAGTACATGTTTTTTATGTGTGACCCTGGACCACAAAACCAGTCATAAGTAGCACGGGTATATTTGTAGCAAAAGCCAACAATACATTGTATTGGTCAAAATTATCGATTTTTTTTTATGCCAAAAGTCATTAGGTTATTAATTAAAGATCTTCATGGAACATGATATTTTGTAAATTACCTACCGTAAATTTATCAAAACTTCATTTTTGATTAGTAATATGCATTGCTAAGAAAATCACTTGGACAACTTTAAAGTAGGCCTGTCGTGAAAATTAAATAACCGTGTAATCGCGATTATTTGATCTTACCGCGTTTGTTTCAGACAACCTCGATTATTGTGCTTTGCGACACAAGGGGGAGTCATACACCAAAAGAAACAGAAGAGTACCAGTTTGCTTTTCATGCACTGTATAGCCTATACAGGGCTCCAGACTCATTCTTCCCACTGGCTGCTCTTTTGCACTCAGCTGGTCGCACGAGCACATGATTTGGTCGCAATATTTTTATTTATTTTTTGCGCTACAACATGGGATTATTCAATGCATGCTGATGAACTTTTATCATAGTTTATAGATATGGAAACGAAACTGGTTAACATTCAACCCGTTCTTTATCATCAGTCGTATTATTTGTGATTTGAATTTTGTGAATGGGAGTTTCTCTTTTGCTGTGTTAAGCCGGCTTCGGATGCTTTCACTTTCGAATTCGCGATCTTGTCGTCACTGTTTTG